AGTAGATATAATAAAGTAAAAATAGATTGGTTAGAAAGGCGAAGTCCAAGAGGTAAGAGCTCGTTTCTGCAGACATAAATTGTAAACACGCGCCCACCACAGCTAATATATGCGTATGAGGAGAATAATAGAGGAACATTGCTTCTAAAGTTCAGGAACACCTAAGATATCAAAGGATTGTTTCCATGGGTCCTAAAGGAGGAAGTTGGGGTCCTTGGCCCATCCTTCACACCGTTCTTGAGATCCTCTTTACAACCAAATATATTGTCATAAACATGTAAGATTGACTAATGAAGATTATGCCACCCACGAGGTGGCACGGGCATGAATATCTCGTAAAACATGTAAAAGAATAAATATTGCCTTAATATTCAAGAGAAGAGATGAGGAGGAACTACTGAACTACAGACCTGCGCCAGGATTCTTCGATCATTTATCCAACCACTTACGAAGCCTGCAGTTGTTGCTTGCTTGGGGTAGTTGGCGGACTTGTGACTTGTACTTGAGGTGGTGTACTGACGTGGCCTGAGTGATGGGAAGGTGACCTGCCCCCCGTTTTGCGGGCTCATTCTCTGGGCCTGGAGTTTAAAGGCAAGGCTGATTATCCGGCGGTGGAGCAGGTGATGTGTGACATGCTGTGCATTGATGTGGCTCCAATTTATAGAGTAGAGTTGGTGTCCTCCCATCGGGTTATAGTGAAGTTTGCTGCCGAGGAAATTACAGGGTGTTTTTGCACCGTTATGAGAGGCGGTCGTTTCCGTTGCCGGATGCTGCTGGTACGGTCGTTATCTCCGACCAGAGTGGTGCCCTTACCTCCGTCAGTGTGCATGGTGCGCCCCTCGAGTTCTCGGAGGAGCTGCTGCGGATGTATTTCGGGCAGTATGGCACTGTAATCATTGCCTATTGCAGATGCTTTCCTGCGGGAAATTTAAGGGTGTTCGAACTAATATTCGCACTCTTGGGATGCGGCTGGGTTCGGACATCCCGTCCTCTGTGCGGCTCATGGGGTATTGCATCAGAGTATACTATGCACAACAGCCACACACCTGCTTTCACTGTGGTTTGTTGGGCCACCTGCTCAGCGATTGTCGTCATCCACGTGAATCTCTTTCGTGAGGAAGATTTCCCACCATTGGCTGTGGAGGAGGAGCCGGTGGATGAATTTGTGGACGTACCTTTGGCTGAGGTGTTGCACCAGGTGTCGGCCGGTGCACGAGCAGCTGGATGGGGGGGGGGGGGGGACGGGGCCCCGGTGGTTGTGCCGTCCTCGGTTGGGTGTCCTGCTGTCGCTGGTGTTACTGGTGCTGTTGCAGTTCTTCCGAGTTCTCCATCGCCGTCTTCAGCATCTCCGTCTGCTGTGCTTGCCCCTACATCTTCTGCGTCTGATCCTCTACCTTGGCTTGCGGTTCCTGTTTCGTCGTCCCCGCGTCATGTCCCGGCTGTGCTGGGGGATGATGTGGAGGCGGGGTCTTTTGCTGTGGTGAGACTGGTCCCCTCTGTCGTAGAGGCTGCTGACGTCTTGCGTCGTGCGAATGTGCGCCCCCTCCCTCACCCCCTGCGCTTCCCATGCTCTGGCGCTGAAGATGTGCGGCCAGGTCCCAAGCGCTAGAGGCGTTCTTCTCCTGTTTCCTGGGCCGATGTGGGTGAATTTGACGCAGACGGGTCTGTGGTTAAAAGTGCCCTGGTCCCTAAGGCGGCAGTGTCGACTGTGATGGTGATGGCGGAGGTGCACGTCCCTGCTGCTGCGGCTGATACCCGTGTCCCTATGTTAACATCTGGTTCTTCTCCTGCAGGGGTTCCCCGAAGTGAGGGGTGGTTCTTCCTCCTGTGGTGGATGGTGCGGCTGTTTTTTTTTTTTTTTTTTTTTTTTTTGCAGGGATATTCCTGCGCGGGCCCTAAGCCTCTGACTGCCCCACTAAGTGTTGTTTGTTTCTGTTTTACTTGGGCGGAGTATGAGTATTTATGACTCGTATAGTCACCGTGCGACTGGTGATGAGGGCAGGGGCCTGGTGGTGGTCCTGAGGAAGGATGTTCGACATGGTGATTCTGTGCCGGTGTCCGTACCTGTTCCGGATGTGGCCCCTGTGACGCCGCCTCCTGTTGCACCGCCTCCCGTGGCGCCACTTCCAGTGGTGCCACTTGTGGAGGCCGTGTCTGGCGAGGATGACCGGGACATTCAGGTTATTAGTGAGGCTGATTTCCAAGAAATTTGTGCTCGCGCTGCGCCCTCGATGTGGGTGCGGGTGTTGACGATCCCTGTAACCCAGATATTGTGTGGGTGCCTGGTTCCCATTCATTTATAACCGGATTTCCTGATGTGATGGCGCGTCTTCGTGCACCTATTAACCCTGCTATAACGATTCTTTAGGAGGGGTATTGCGTCCGGTTTCCGGTGGCGGACTTTCCGGAGAAGTATGAATAGGCCCTTTTAGCTCGGGCCCTTCTGGCCTGTGATTTTTGTACATTTGTGATTTCTGTAAAATGTTCTGTGTTTTGTTCTGTGGCCCATCAGGCGTCTGACTTTGTTCTTTTCTTTTTTTCTTTTTTTCTGTATGTACTTATGTTATTTCCTCGCATGCTTTGCATGTAAAAATTAATAAAAAAAAAGTTACAAAGCCTGTAGATCATTCCTTGCTCATGGAAGATTTGTTTACATATAATAAGCAGTCTCGAGTTTCGAAACATCAAAAACCATGATATTATTGTTGTAAACAACCTTGTAATGCTTCGGAACTCAAACTGTGAAATCCGCCATAATGGTGGAAAGATGTACAGGCTTCGTAAGTGGCTCAGTAAATGTCTGATGAATCCTGTCCCAGCGTCATTAAGGTACACTCCCAGCAAGGTGTTGGAGAGGCTTGCCAGGCAACCCGTCCTCAGACCAAGTCCATTCGATCCAGCTGTCGACCCTACAGACGCTTTCATAAATTTTAACATTCTCCTCATTCAAAACTGAATTTTTCTCATATATAAATTAATATTAATATATATTAGCATATTGTGCATATTTAGGCATTGGTTAGGTTAGGTTAGGTGTTTAGGTTCTGTTGGCGATTATTTGTATTTGTAGTACGTGGGTGAAACATTTACAGTGTTGTGGTTCGAACAACTTTCTTCAGCGAAACACTTGTTCCGGAAGTGTTCGAACGAAATCAGTGGTGAGTCGTTTTTAAACCGTTTTTCATTCATAAACAGGGGGAGTTGGTAGATGCATAAAATCACTTTTGGGTCTTTGTTTGGAGGACGGGCTGAAGCATTTACAATGTTGTAGTTCGAACAAAAGTCGTCAGCGAAGCACATGTTCCGGGAGTGTCCGGACGTCATCAGTTGTGAGTCGTGTGTAAACGGTGTTTTATTCATAAACAAGGGGTTTTGCGGGTGCATGGAATGAACTTTGGCCTTTGTTTAGAGGACGGGCTGCGTTAGGAAACGTCTCATGGAACCTGGAAAATTTTACTTTCAAAGCACAAGCACGGCTTCAGTCAAGTTAGGATTTTTTCCAACGAATCTATTCGAGTTCTATGATGAAACGCCAGTGCTAAAACCCCAGAGAATGGTTGACTGACTGTGCATTTCTTGATTGTCAGAAAGAATTTGACAGAATCCAGCTGGGATAACTTCCATACTAGCTAAAGAATCAGACTGGCATAGCAACACAAGTGCAGGGATGGGCGAGACCCTGCACTTGTCCCTGCATTTTAGGACCATCATTATCCTCATATCTTCTTGGAGGATATGATGAGCAACCTTTTTAAAACTATCCAACGGGGAAACTTCGGCTGCTTGGAGGTCACATCTAAATAAGATTAAAAATTAATACTTAAAAAAATACAGTGGTATGCGGCCTTAACTTGTTGCAATGTGGAAGGAAAGGCGGATTAAGTAAGAAAGTAACGAAGAATATAATAAGAGAAATGACAAGGTGATCAAAGAGGAAATGCTCAAAGTAATAAGCTGTAGAACCACAGGGCACTTGTCGAAGCTACACACACACATATGAGCCAACAAGAAGTAATGAAAAGCAATCTCAGCTGACGAGGCAAATTACAGGCGAAGTGTGCAAGAGGTTCCAGGAAGACTTGGCTTGGCCAGACAATTGGCTATTTAGCCTCAATTATTATAAGTGCGATGTTACGAAGATGGGAAGAGTCCTAGTCTGTTGGCAGGAGTCTTGTGAGGTAAGAGTTACTGGAAGTGAGACTCTGCCAGTCAGACCTCGATAGTTAAGGTAATGACAGGGAGTGAGAGCAACATGTCGAGTGAGGGAAGAGGAGAGGTGAGGGAAGAGGAGAGGTGAGGGAAGAGGAGAGGTGAGAGAAGAGGAGAGGTGAGGGGAGTGAGGGAAGAGGAGAGGTGAGGGGAAGGAAATGGAACTATCAGAGGAAAGCGCCAAGCCATTACAACTATATAGCACTTAGAAGGGATGAGGATAAGAATTTGGGGTAGAACGAGGGAAAGGAATGATGCGCAACCACTTGGATGGTCGGGAATTGAACGCCGACCTGCATGAAGCGAGACCGTCGCTCTAACGTCCAGCCCAAGTGGCTGGGCAAGAGAGGTGAGGAGAGTGAGGAGAGAAGAGGTGAGGGGGGTGGAAATAGAGGAGAGGGGAGGGAAGAGAAGTGGTGAGTGGAGTGAGGGAAATGCAGAGGTTATGGGAGTGGAGATGTGATAGGAGTGGAGAGGTGAGGGAAGCAAGGGAAGAGGAGAGACTCGGGGAATGAGGTAAAATTAGAGGTGAGGGGTAGTGAAGGAAGAAGTAAAGCCGGGAGTGATGTAGGTGGGAGAGGTATTGCTCCTGTGTGTCCTCGGCTGATATGAGTTACGAAGCGCACATATGGGTTGCTTCCCTGGTATGTGTGAGCAGTATAGACCACAGGGTCTATACTGGGTACTTAATCATGTGGTATGGACGTGATATCATCCCTTTGGGTATTCTCAGGCAGTTAGCGGCGAGGCAGCTACGGGAGACCCCAAAGTCAAGTAGCAAGAAGACGTACCTTTGGGCGTGTCCTCGGAGATGGTGGTGGTGGTGGTGTGGGAGGGGAAGTACGGAGCGTTGTCGTTGACGTCCTTGAGGTTGACGCGTACGTCAGTGTGCGTCTCCAGCTCGCCATCCGACGCAGTCACCCGCAGTCGCCACTGAGCCCGGCCGTGGGGTGGGTCACGGTCCAGGGGCTGTAGTATGGGCAGTGTGGGAAAGGTCAGGTTAGTGTGGGCGGCGGAGAAGTGTGAGGCATCATGTGGAACCACCAGCCAGTCACACACTGTCCCCAGAGAATTACGAGCAAGTCACACTATGACTCACAAGAAAGTGGCAAATCGCGAATAAACAAACCCATCTAAGAGGTCAACAGAGATAGATAGTCTTTTATATCAACCTAATGAAAATCTAAGAATTCTCGCCAGAGGCAACACGCATTGGGAAATGACGCAACGAGAAAAAAAGATCCTTACTCCTCTCTCTCTCTCACTCTCTAGGTGTCTCTCACACATACACGCAAACACCAAGAGAGAGAGAGAGAGAGAGGGAGGGAAGGGGGGGGGGTGTTGTAAAGGAAGGCAGTCATTAAAGGGAAATGTGAGTGTGCAGCAGAGGGAAGGGGGAAAAAAAAGAGAGCGGCTGGTGTCAATAGTGGGGGCTGAATAGCTGGTAATTATTGGTTGTACGTGTGTTTGTGAGGGAGGAGGAGGAGGGGGTTGGAGGGGAAAGGAAACGGCAGGGAAGGGGAGGGTAAAGTGGGAGGAAAACAGATAACCAGCATAGAGACGTAAATGTACTTGTACGAGAGAGAGACAGACAGACAGAGAGAGAGAGAGAGAGAGAGAGAGAGAGAGAGAGAGAGAGAGAGAGAGAGAGAGAGAGAGAGAGAGAGAGAGAGAGAGAGAGAGAGAGAGAGAGAGAGAGAGAGAGAGAGACAGACAGGGAATCTGGTAGCTGAGAGGACAGCGCGCGCGGTAATCCTGTAGCCCGAGTTCGATTCCTGGACTAAGCAGAGACAAATGGGCAGAGTTTCTTTCACCCTGATGCCCCTGTTAACTAGCAGTAAACAGGTACCTGGGAGTTAGACAGCTGTTACGGGCTGCTTCCTGTGTGTGTGTGTGTGTGGTATCTGTGTGCGTGTGAAAACATTAGTTAGTAGTTAGTAACAGTTGATTGACAGTTGAGAGGCGGGCCGAAAAAAGCATAGCTCAACCCCCCCCCCCCCCACCGTCGCAAGCACAACTAGGTGAATACAGACAGACTGACAGACAGATAAACAGGATGAATTGCAAAAGACCACAAACAAAACGGCCAAGAGACAGAATGATAAAGTCAAACTGGCACACAACTATACAACGACAGACAAACACAAAGTGAATAAACACCAGCGACATCAGAATAACATAGACAACCCGACTGCAAGAAGGTGTAATACAGAAAACGGAAGAAAAAGTGGTATAATCGCTTCAGACCGTTTGAAGTCTACAGTAGAGTCGTTTGGTGCTCGTTAGCGCACAGAACCAGTTCCCACAACCACGGAATCCTATTTAGGGAATGGTGGAGATATATATATATATCCTTCCGTGCCTTTCAGTTTCCACGGAGCTTTCTATTTATTCAGTGTGGGTTGTCCTCTGTGAATGTGGGTTTGTGTTCGGTTATCGAACAATTTTAAGAAAGCATTCTGCATGTATAAACACAGTGAAAAACAAAACGCACTCGTAGCATGGGTGGAAATGGAACAGCGCCCAGCATCACTGAGAAAACATTTGACGGTAACTATCATAAACAGCGCAAGTGAACACGGGAGGCGATGCACTGGAGCGTGACCGGAAAGTCAAGAACTTGACCTGAAAGACTGGAGCGTGACCGGAAAGACTGGAGCGTGACCGGAAAGACTGGAGCGTGACCGGAAAGACTGGATCATGATCGGAAAGACTCAAGGGGGACCGGAATGTCTGGAGCGTGACCGGAAAGACTGGAGCGTGACCGGAAAGACTGGAGCATGATCGGAAAGACTCAAGGGGGACCGGAATGTCTGGAGCGTGACCGGAAAGACTGGAGCGTGACCGGAAAGACTGGAGCATGATCGGAAAGACTCAAGGGGGACCGGAATGTCTGGAGCGTGACCGGAAAGACTGGAGCGTGACCGGAAAGACTGGAGCATGATCGGAAAGACTCAAGGGGGACCGGAATGTCTGGAGCGTGACCGGAAAGACTGGAGCGTGACCGGAAAGACTGGAGCATGATCGGAAAGACTCAAGGGGGACCGGAATGTCTGGAGCGTGACCGGAAAGACTGGAGCGTGACCGGAAAGACTGGAGCATGATCGGAAAGACTCAAGGGGGACCGGAATGTCTGGAGCGTGACCGGAAAGTAAAAAACGTTACCGGAAAACCTGGAGCGTGACCGGAAAGTCTAGAACGTGACCTGAAAGACATCATGGAGCGTGACTGGAAAGACTGGAGCGTGACCGGAAAGTCTGGCGGGTGACCGGAAAGTCTGGAGGGTGACCGGAAAGTCTGGAGCGTGATCGGAAAGACAGAAGAGTGACCGGAAAGTCTAGAACTTGACCGGAAAGACTTGAGCATAACCGGAAAGTCATGACCGTGACCGGAAAGACTCAAGGGTGACCGGAATGTCTAGAGCGTGACCGAAAAGACTGGAGCGTGACCGGAAAGACTGGAGCGTGATCGGAAAGACTGGAGTGTGACCGGAAAGACTTCATAGAGTGTTACCGGAAAGACTGGAGCGTGACCGGAGAGACTGGACCATGACCGTGACCGGAAAGGCTCAAGGGTGACCGGAGAGTCTGGAGCGTGACCGGAAAGACTAGAGCGTGATCGGAAAGACTGGAGCGTGACCGGAAAGACTTCATAGAGTGTTACCGGAAAGACTGGAGCGTGACCGGAGAGACTGGAGGGTAACCGGAAAGTCTGGAGCATGATCGGAAAGACTGGAGCGTGACCGGAGAGACTGGAGGGTAACCGGAAAGTCTGGAGCATGATCGGAAAGACTGGAGCATGACCGGAAAGTCTGGAGCGTGACCAGAAAAACTGGAGCGTGACCGGAAAATCTGGAGCGTGACCGGAAAGATTGGAGCTTGATCGGAAAGACTGGAGCATGACCGGAAAGTCTGGAGCATGACCGGAAAGTCTGGAGCGTGACCGGAAAAACTGGAGCGTGACCGGAAAATCTGGAGCGTGACCGGAAAGATTGGAGCTTGATCGGAAAGACTGGAGTGTGACTGGAAAAACTGGAGCGTGACCGAAAAGACTGGAGCGTGACCGGAAAGACTGGAGCGTGACCGGAAAGACTGGAGCGTGACCGGAAAGACTGGAGCGTGACCGAAGAGACTGGAGCGTGACCGGAAAGATTGGAGCGTGACCGGAGAGACTGGAGCGTGACCGGAAAGACTGGAGCGTGACCGGAAAGACTGGAGCGTGACCGGAAAGACTGGAGCGTGACCGGAAAGACTGGAGCGTGACCGGAAAGACTGGAGCGTGACCGGAAAGACTGGAGCGTGACCGGAAAGACTGGAGCGTGACCGGAGAGACTGGAGCGTGACCGGAAAGCAGATTTTAACAACTCATCCTCCCTCACTCACCCCACCCCCACCTACCCCTCTCACAAAAGAAAAGTTGTCTTAATGGAGCAATGTCTGAGAGTCAAGCTTATCAGTTTTACCCACTAGAGGTGTCAAGTAACTCGTGGAATCTTCAACTGGCTTTCGTCTTTCCTTTCAATTAAAGGTAAGGTTATTTTGCCTCTGCACTACCCAACCACTTTGACTGGACAGTAGAGCTTCTTGCAGGACGCCGTTCAATCCCCGACCGTCCAAATGATTGGGCACGATTTCTTGCCTCCGTCCTCTCCCAGATTCTTATCCCTGTATTTCTTCTAAGTTCTATATAATCGTACTGGTGTTCTGATAATTACCTTACCTTGCCTCTGAACTTTCCTAAATAGTAATGATCCGCACATGTACAAGGGAAACACACAGGGAGATCCTGGCATAAACCACTCAGAGAACCCAACAGAGGAGAAGAGCCACAGCGGAGCGGACACTGCAGTATGATGAATGGAAAAATATGAGCCACTTTCCAGGGGCAATTTGAGAGGCAAATATGGTGACCCGACTTGCAAGAAACAGCAAGAAATGTACCAAAATTTGATAAGAGTGTACGAAATTCAAGGACTGTGGTCAGGTCCCTAGGGATGAGGGCGAGGCGCGTTAAGTGCTCACGACGCGTCGAGTCCTTTCGCATCTAACCTGGACACAACAAGGACACAATTGTTGGTCTCGTCCGTGCTCATGTACCGATAATTTACTATTACCCCCGAGACCCCCTCTTCCTGAAAAAGCCAGTTTTTCACTATTATTTCAGTACAAACGAAGAAAGATATGGGTTTAGAAAGGAGGGGGGGGGGCGCCGGGGTGAGCTACGCTTATAAAGTAGTGAAGATGTTGGTGTTATGTTGGTCCTTTGGAGAGGAAATGGAGTGTCTCGTGTTGGCAATATTGCCAGGGAAGATGGACACGGGATATCGTCGTGGATGAAGACTTGGGGTACCGTCGAGGATGAAGAGTCGGGGTACCGTCGGGGATGAAGAGTCGGGATATCGTCGGGGATAAAGAGTTGGGATACCGTCGGGGATGAAGAGTCGGGGTACCGTCGGGGATGAAGAGTCGGGATATCGTCGGGAATGAAGAGTTGGGATACCGTCGGGGATGAAGAGTCGGGATATCGTCGGGAATGAAGAGTTGGGACACCGTCGGGGATGAAGAGTCGGGATATCGTCGGGGATGAAGAGTCGGGGTACCGTCGGGGATGAAGAGTCGGGATATCGTCGGGAATGAAGAGTTGGGATACCGTCGGGGATGAAGAGTCGGGATATCGTCGGGGATGAAGAGTCGGGGTACCGTCGGGGATGAAGAGTCGGGGTACCGTCGGGGATGAAGAGTCGGGGTACCGTCGGGGATGAAGAGTCGGGGTACCGTCGGGGATGAAGAGTCGGGATATCGTCGGGAATGAAGAGTCGGGGTACCGTCGGGGATGAAGAGTCGGGGTACCGTCGGGGATGAAGAGTCGGGGTACCGTCGGGGATGAAGAGTCGGGGTACCGTCGGGGATGAAGAGTCGGGGGGATCGTCGGGGATGAAAAGTCGGGGTACCGTCGGGGATGAAGAGTCGGGGTACCGTCGGGGATGAAGAGTCGGGGTACCGTCGGGGATGAAGAGTCGGGGTACCGTCGGGGATGAAGAGTCGGGGTACCGTCGGGGATGAAGAGTCGGGGTACCGTCGAGGATGAAGAGTCGGGGTACCGTCGGGGATGAAGAGTCGGGGTACCGTCGGGGATGAAGAGTCGGGGTACCGTCGGGGATGAAGAGTCGGGGTACCGTCGGGGATGAAGAGTCGGGGTACCGTCGGGGATGAAGAGTCGGGGTACCGTCGAGGATGAAGAGTCGGGGTACCGTCGGGGATGAAGAGTCGGGGTACCGTCGAGGATGAAGAGTCGGGGTACCGTCGAGGATGAAGAGTCGGGGTACCGTCGAGGATGAAGAGTCGGGGTACCGTCGAGGATGAAGAGTCGGGATATCGTCGGGTATGAAGAGTCGGGATATCGTCGGGGATGAAGAGTCGGGGTACCGTCGAGGATGAAGAGTCGGGGTACCGTCGTGGATGAAGAGTCGGGATATCGTCGGGGATAAAGAGTTGGGATACCGTCGGGGATGAAGAGTCGGGATATCGTCGGGTATGAAGAGTCGGGATATCGTCGGGGATGAAGAGTCGGATATCGTCGGGGATGAAGAGTCGGGATATCGTCGGGGATGGAGAGTCGGTATACTGTCGGGGATGAAGAGTCGGGATATCGTCGGGGATAAAGAGTTGGGATACCGTCGGGGATGAAGAGTCGGGATACCGTCGGGGATGAAGAGTCGGGATACCGTCGGGGATGAAGAGTCGGGATACCGTCGGGGATGAAGAGTCGGGATACCGTCGGGGATGAAGAGTCGGGATATCGTCGGGGATAAAGAGTTGGGATACCGTCGGGGATGAAGTCGGGATACCGTCGTGGATGAAGAGTCGGGATACCGTCGGGGATGAAGAGTCGGGATACCGTTGGGGATGAAGAGTCGGGATATCGTCGGGGATGAAGAGTCGGGATACCGTCGGGGATGAAGAGTCGGGATACCGTCGGGGATAAAGAGTTGGGATACCGTCGGGGATGAAGAGTCGGGATACCGTCGGGGATAAAGAGTTGGGATACCGTCGGGGATGAAGTCGGGATACCGTCGGGGATAAAGAGTTGGGATACCGTCGGGGATGAAGTCGGGATACCGTCGGGGATGAAGTCGGGATACCGTCGGGGATGAAGAGTCGGGAAGTGAGCAGTAGCAAAAGCTGCCTCAGACTCTAAAGAGAATTTATGAGAAGTGTTGCGAAAAAAATTATCGGTGTAAGAACTCGCAGTGCATTGTTGGTCGTAGATAGTTCATAAATAATGTTGCAAGAAAAAGCAAAGAAAATATATATATATACCTCTGGATTAATAAAAACATTTTTCTTTTAATTTACTACAAATTTAATGTAATAAATTTTCTTTTAGCAATGGCTGAGAAGTATAGGTAAAGATCTATGTTACTCTATGCCAGGTAACTAACCTGAAAAAAAAAATCTGAAAATTTTTAAATCAAAGAAGAGACGTTGTTTACGATGTTGGCAAAAATAGTGTCAATAATTAAAGTGTCTGTGTCAGACTAAGTTGTCTTGGACTTACTCTCAGCAGCTGGACGGTGCCAGTGGCGGCGTCGACGGCGAAGCAGGAGCGCGTCCCGTTGTGGAAGATGCCGTCTCCTTCCACACTGTAGGTGAGCTGACCGTAGCGGCCAGCGTCGCCGTCCACCGCCCGCACTCGCTGTAGGTGGAAGGTAGAAGGCTGCTTATCTATATTCACGTTCTCTCTCGCTGTTGCTCTCTCTCATTCAGCCATCATCTTGACAGCAAAGCACGACTTTGTAAGACTATTCATGGGAGAATAGACACGGTGGGCAACACTATACAACTTGGGACGGGGAGGGAGAGGAGAAAAAATAGCTAGCAAAGACAGCAGAGATGAGCCCTCTGATTCAGCCCTTAAGGTAGAACAAGAGCAAAAGAGATTACCTTAAAGCTATACTAATCCTAATCTTTACATAAAACGAGGAAGTCATCACAAATATTGAACCTGAACTGTCCCTGGGATTGAGTAATCGCTGCATGGAAGTCCTGGAATCCATGATATCGCAGAAAACTCAGGAAAGAAAGCCTGAAAATTCGTAGAGAGAACGCTACGAGAGAGAGAACTCAAATATTAATCAACACAGGCAATAATGGAGTGAACCGTTGAAAAAACGCATGAAAGTTGACAGCAAATCTATGACTCTCTACATGATTCCAAATATACAAGCACAAAATTACCCACTGCCTCTCGAGGAGAGGCATAAGAGCATAAGCAAGAGTAAGAAGAAATTAGAAACGATTGAGAGAACAGAGCAAGAGAGAACCAGAACAACTGTAAGAGAGACGGGAATGGGTATTTCGGTATGACAGGAGGAGCAGATGATGCTATCTGCATCACTGTGCATCCAAGGCAAACGCTCACAATGATAAATACTGAGGTGTATGATGAGGAATTCCAGAAAGCATTTCTAAGTTATCCAGAACACCCAGTGTGTCTGGAGAACTTATGCAATGAAAGACGGAACAAAATTGAGATGATGACAGAGGAGGCGAGAAGAGTACTGGAGGAGCTGTGAGATGATGACAGAGGAGGCGAGAAGAGTACTGGAGGAGCTGTGAGATGATGACAGAGGAGGCGAGAAGAGTACTGGAGGAGCTGTGAGATGATGACAGAGGAGGCGAGAAGAGTACTGGAGGAGCTGTGAGATGATGACAGAGGAGGCGAGAAGAGTACTGGAGGAGCTGTGAGAGACTAAAGCCATGCGATAAGATGAAATCTCACAATATATCCTTATAGATGCAGATATGATTCTAAGACAGAGCTTTGCAACACTCTTCCACAATCAATTGATAACGAACTGCTAAATATATAGAAAACATGAAATGAAGTCCGTATATAAAAAAAGAGAGCTAGGGGAGCCGGCAGACTAGAGACCAGTGTTTCTACTTCCTGCAGATACTGGAGAGCCTCACAAGACCATGACTTATGAAGTACTTAGAAATAATATGCTTTGACACTAAGCACAATTAAAGCTTTAGCGAAAATAGATTTTGTAAAAAAGTAAATATAAAAACTTGCAGAAATGATCATTATAAAACAGAAGAGAGAGAAAAGCGGGCGGAGGGGAAGAGGACTGACTGTGTTTTCTTTAACTGTCAGAAAGCGTTTAACACCGACACCCTTAAAAGTTTTTCTGTAAAAGCTTGAAAACAAAGCTGATATAAATGTACAAGTGATTGGATAGATGAGAGAGGGATCCTGTAGGGTAGGAAAGAGAGAGTAAGAGCCAGAGGTGAACGGCAGGATGTTGCACTCCGCCTCTGACCTCTCGCTGGCATCCTCGCTTCTAATTCTTCCCACCAGCATTGTATCTTGTGCAGACAGAGATGTAAATGATTCTATTTCCTGTGACGGGTAGATGAAATTAATCAGTATTAGATGCGGTCCTAGTAACGATACCTGCCGCAGGTACCGGCACTTGGTCCCGGGACCCATAATTCGTTTTGTCGGGGACAGCAAGCCTTTGGATATATACACTTTAGGCTTATCTCGAGGCCCCCAATGTCTGACTACTGATTCCTTCCCATGATGCAACCCCACAACAATTGCCTAACTCTCGGGTACCTATTTACTGCTTGGTGAATATGTGTATTAGATGAAATTAAACGTGCCCAACCATTTCTGTCCAACCCGGGAATAGAATTCCTTCCGCAGGTAACGGTACTGGGATCAAATCTAGTTCCGATTAATTTCAATAGCCTGAGAGGAAATTGGAGCATTTATATATATATGTTTGCGTAAGATGCAAAGCTGATGGGATGAATAAGAAACTAAGATGACAGCAGGACACTACATAGATTCATGAATTTCCTTTAAAAGTTGTCGTAAACATGGCTGTTAGACTTCAATCTGAACTAATGCAAAGCAATGAGGAAAGAAGCGAGGGAGAGAAGACCCCCAAGGACATAACAGGTTAAAATTAAGAGTCATGGAAGTAGAAAATATGAATGTTTGTGGAATATATAAGACCAACCTGGCGCCAGAGGAATATATTAATAAACTAGCGTTTGCAGCACACACAAAACAGGTAAATGTTCATATAGCCTTTAGGGTTTCAGAAGGCATATAAACTTACATAAGACCAACCCTTGAGTATACAGCTCTTGCCTAAAGCCTCCATCTAAAAGGCACATATTCGCTCTTGAAAAAAGTATAGATATTTGCTTGAGACATCCAACTACAGTAGACGGCTGAAGGACCTCTCTCCCATCACGTTGAATGAAGGAAAGAAGAGACCTTATATAATAACAATCAATATATCGAAGGAAACTGATTGCCAGGAGAGAAACTGAAACTAAGCCAGGACAGAGTGGACAGTGACAGCTGCAGACGATGAGGCACAATAACGTTGCTGCCGTTGATGTGTGACCAAGCCACACATCAGAAAATGAAGGAGCGACGACGTTTCGGTCCGGCCTGGACCATTATCATGGCTTGAAAATAGTCTAAGACGAAACGAAACGTCGTCGTTTCTTTACTTTCTGATGTATGGTTGGGTCGTCAACGTAACAACTATTAAAATGAGAAACAGGAGAAGCCGACACGGCGAGTGCTGACGCTATAGACACAGATGAGATGGAGTGATTGCAGGAAGAAGAGATAAATCCTCTTTTTCCATATGACTTTCTAGATGGGTAGAGTTGAATAAACGACTTCACGAGGTTATGTAAGACGAGAGACACCAGCAACGACAGTCTCGACAATAACTGATGCTGCATCTGTATGTACTAAGAACACCTATGTGAGCACATCCAGGTGAGAACACCAAGCTGGCCAAGCACCATAAACATAATATCATCATAGCTTCTCTCTCTACCATGTAACATCAAAGGCCAACTTTACACGTTAGAGAACCCTTATGGCAGCTCCGCCTTTTGACGCAAACGTTCGTTTCTGCAAAACAAAAACAAAAAATCGTGGACGCATCACTCACGCACAAACTGCGCAATGTTTTCCAGCGTTTAGGGGAGAAAAATACCAGCTGTTTACAGTGCCATTTTTAGAGCCATATGGAGCCTGGAGCGTCTGGTAAACAAGGGGCTTGTGTTCATCACTCGCACCGTATCTCCATCAGTGATTTTTTTTTTTATAATTTAATTGTGTTGGTAATATGCATTTGGTTAAGTTAGTACTTTGGTTTGTTTTACTGTGTGGCTATGTTAGTTTTGTTAGTACTTTGGTTTGTTTTACTGTGTGGCTATGATAGTTTTGTTAGTACTTTGGTTTGTTTTACTGTGTGGCTATGTTAGTTTTGTTAGTACTTTGGTTTGTTTTACTGTGTGGCTATGATAGTTTTGTTAGTACTTTGGTTTGTTTTACTGTGTGGCTATGATAGTTTTGTTAGTACTTTGGTTTGTTTTACTGTGTGGCTATGATAGCTTTGTTAGTACTTTGGTTTGTTTTACTGTGTGGCTATGTTAGTTTTGTTAGTACTTTGGTTTGTTTTACTGTGTGGCTATGATAGTTTTGTTAGTACTTTGGTTTGTTTTACTGTGTGGCTATGTTAGTTTTGTTAGTACTTTGCGTTGTTTTAATGTGTGGATATGTTAGTTTTGTTAGTTCTTTGTGTTGTTTTTGTTACCTACCGTTCACACAGCTCAGACATCAGTCACCGTATAATTTTAATACTCTAGGGGAAAACGGTATATAATTATGATGTCCCAGCATGTCCCATGATGTGGCACAAGACAAAGAAAAAACATATAAATCAGTGTTCACCAGGTGGGGTTAAAACCATAACAAACATTAATATAGACTATGATATATTTTTTTATACTCAAAACATATAGTATTAAAAAGAATTTCAGATGGCAATCACTTAATAAATGGTTACGTAATTAAAAGAAAACTGTCTTCTAGACACAATTAATGTACCTATATATACAAGAGACTTAAATACTCAACTTATGTAACCCAAACGAGGTCTTGCAAAGAATTCAAATAAAATAATATAGGTTCTACAATTAATATAATTTACAATGCCGCATGCTTAATTACTGTAAATTACCAAATATACAAAAATTAAAAGTGACATCTGGAACTCCCATAGCTGAACAGGTCCAGGAATTCTACTTTCCCGAACCTAACAGGTATTAGACGTGTACAGAACAACCGGCCTCCTGTCTCCTGATATTGCCAACTCATTATCATGAATTTATATACGTATCCGATTAGAGATACGTAACAGTTTTAATGTGTGGTTATGTTGGTTTTGTTAGTTCTTTGTGTTGTTTTAATGTGTGGTTATGTTGGCTTTGTTAGTTCTTTGTGTTGTTTTAATGTTGAACTCGACAGGCCTCCAATTTAATATGGTTGGGTTGGGTGTTGTTGTCGTCGATCCTTCTTTCTGGACAACCCAACCCACAACTCAGTAGCGGGCTTATACCTTACCAGGAGATCACCCTGGGCGCTTCTGGCTCTTGAAGAGGGGCTCAACGTCACACGTTTAGGGGATGCGGCTCCAATACTTAGCCTCGTTGTCACGTGCACACACCCACTCGAGCCGCTGTGACTCCCCACTCTCTCCTTTTGTGATATGATCTCCTCAATCCCCTTTAACTTATTAGTTATTCCGTTCTACCCTGTACACGGCTGTGGTTCTTGGTTCTTTATCTCTCTCTCTCTCCTTCTTTCCTACTTCCTGGGAAGCCTCACTAGGACAAGATCAAACACCAGCAAATTTGAATACATTTACTGGACAAAGCACATACACAATACATACACACACACAATAATAATAATGAATCCTACACTCTATACTATTTCAGTCAGGTTGCACTCCAACACCATCAGAACTCTATCATCAGCTTATCAAGTGGTATCCTATCTCCTGGTTCACCACCTAATACTACCAACCTCCTCAAGTAGGTCAAGTCTTATAACACAATGTTGCACTATCAGCAAGAGGTTATATATATCTATAAACATGTACAAGGAAAATCAGCGTATCGCTGCAATAACATAAATATCAGTATAAATGTTCCTTGATATACAATAATGATCAATCGATCACCCTATCAGTCCTAGAACACATATGTATGTATGTATGTCTCTGCAGGTAATCCAGCCTACGACTGTAACTCTATACTTCAGTACAAGTACTCCTTGGCACAAAAATGGCAAACATTCCCTCACCGTTCACTGTGTCTTGCACGCTAATGACAACCAAACACTCTACCAACTCCCTACAAGTAATCAACCAGAACTTCCCTTCCACATCTGGAAGCTCACTACCCTGATATCTTCAGGTTCTTTCGTGTTTATCTACAAGGACCCTCCGCAGCTCCTCCAGGCTGCTGCACCTTGAGCAACAGTGATGCTTCACCACTTCTACCAGGGTCCTCCACAGCGCTCCTGGCTGCTACACCATGAAGTCTTCCTCGAACAGCACTGGAGTTTCCACTACTGGTATTACAGAAGCACATGACACTCCTCTTCACTGCTTCTCCTCACAGCTCGAGCTCCTACTCTTCACTCTGGGAGCTACTCTTCCTCGGAGTACACTACTCCTTCAACAGTCTTGGAGTCTCTGCCACTAACTCACTCTACTGGCTCGAAGTCCACTCAGCAACTTTTTCCAGACAAACCTGCAACCCATTGACACGCCAATAAAAACGTTTCCCCTTAAACACATAAACGAAATAATCCATACAATATGTTTGCATCCAACATCTATTTGCTCTCTACATACTGTGAGAGTGGACTCCCCCGTTTGGGCTGGTCCATGCTCCGCCCGGCCAGGCGGTTCTCACTCTGGGAGGGTCCTCCGCCGCCAGTCAGTCAGTTGGCTTCAGGCAGTCGACGGGAGAGGACGTGCTGCTCGTCCCTCCAGCTGTCTCTCTCATCTCTGTCCTCTTATTTAGGCTTCCTGCCTTACCAAAACATGTCTAACTTATCAACAAACATTTGCTACTGTCGCTGGGCACACGACCAACTACAACTAATCACTATAAACTGGCTTAAAATCGTGCTTACCACAGATTGTCTAGTCAAGGGCGCTCTCCCTCTGATGAGTCTGATCAGGGCGCTCCCACGGCACACGATAATGTCTCTGGGCGGCTTAACAAACTCTCCTTGTCGTCCAAGACTTGAGACCACAACGTTCCCAGCTCGATTCCACAACTGGAACGTCTGCACACTTCCTTTCTCTTGAAGGTATATCCAACAGGGGATCCTCTCCAACGGGAGCTCAAATGGAGCGCAGCTTCCCCCTCACAATGTTTGGTACTCAAGTGGGGTCAGAGCCCTCCCGAAGCGAGCCTCACCTCCAGCAAATTATCCACATCTCATAACCAGTCATTTATCTATTTTCTTATTCACTTCCCATATTCTTAAACTCTCTGTAAAATTTACCCAATTATTTTTATATATGAATCTTCATGTCTGTAAATCTCCGACCTCCTAGTCGGGTCAGGCCTGACAGAATAATTCTTAAAGGGGAGACTCGTTTTTCGGCTAACCTGGGATCATAACAATGGTTATGCTAGTTTTATTAGTACTTTGTGTTGTTTTAATGTGTTGTTATGTTGGTGAGATTTGTAACGTGTTTTAGGCAGGTGGTTTTGGGGATGCTCATTTAAACGTATATCTGTATGTATAGGAACTATTGGGACAGACTAACTTTTGTAGAGCACGCAAGTAAATATAATGAACACCTGTGCCTGTAGAGCTGAGTTTTGTATGCAAGGAACACCTGTGCACGATGAATAGACACCTGTACACAAGGAACACCTGTGCACGATGAACAGACATCTGTACACAAGGAACAGACATCTGTACACAAGGAACACCTGTGCACGATGAACAGACATCTGTACACAAGGAACACCTGTGCACGATGAACAGACATCTGTACACAAGGAACACCTGTGCACGATGAACAGACATCTGTACACAAGGAACACCTGTGAATGGATTTAGCAACACTCACAAAAAACATTCCTGCAGACCAGTAAATATTGAAGCGACTTAGTATACTTCTTCAATGTTCTCACAACTAAGCCAGAACAGAGTTACAAACGAGTGAAGACACACACACACACACACACACACACACACACACACACACACACACACACACACACAGGGCCTCGCGGCCGAGTGAACAGCACTATGGAGTCGTAATTCTATGGACCCTGATTTGATTCTCGACGGAGGGAGAATGAAGGGAAAGGAACTGTCGGGAAAGCGCCAAGCAATAACGACAATATAGCACTGGGAAGGGATTAGGATAAGGATTTGGGATGGGACGGGGAGGAAAGGAATGATGTCCAACCACTTGGACAGTCCGGGATTGAACACCGACCTGCATGAAGCGAGACCGTCGCTCTACCGTCCGAGGGAGAATGAAGAGGATAGAGTTTCTTTCACCTGATGCACCTGATTACCTAGCAGTAAATAAGTACGTAGGAGTTACACAGTTACTACGGGGTGTATCCTAGGGATCCAGAGGGTATTTGTCCTCCTCCTCCCGAAGGTGCTTGTCCTCCACCTCCACCAGGTGCTTGTCCTCCACCTCCACAAGGTGCTTGTCCTCCACCTCCACAAGGTGCTTGTCCTCCACCTCCACAAGGTGCTTGTCCTCCACCTCCACCAGGTGCTTGTCCTCCACTTCCACCAGGTGCTTGTCCTCCACCTCCACAAGGTGCTTGTCCTCCACCTCCACAAGGTGCTTGTCCTCCACCTCCACAAGGTGCTTGTCCTCCACCTCCACCAGGTGCTTGTCCTCCACTTCCACCAGGTGCTTGTCCTCCACCTCCACAAGGTGCTTGTCCTCCACCTCCACAAGGTGCTTGTCCTCCACCTCCACAAGGTGCTTGTCCTCCACCTCCACAAGGTGCTTGTCCTCCACCTCCACAAGGTGCTTGTCCTCCACCTCCACAAGGTGCTTGTCCTCCACCTCCACAAGGTGCTTGTCCTCCACCTCCACCAGGTGCTTGTCCTCCACCTCCACCAGGTGCTTGTCCTCCACCCCCACAAGGTGCTTGTCCTCCACCTCCACAAGGTGCTTGTCCTCCACCTCCACAAGGTGCTTGTCCTCCACCTCCACAAGGTGCTTGTCCTCCACCTCCACAAGGTGCTTGCCCTCCACCTCCACCAGGTGCTTGTCCTCCACCTCCACCAGGTGCTTGTCCTCCACCTCCACAAGGTGCTTGTCCTCCACCTCCACCAGGTGCTTGTCCTCCACCTCCACCAGGTGCTTGTCCTCCACCTCCACCAGGTGCTTGTCCCCCTCCTCCATTCATAATAAAACCAGCTGGCTGTCAGGTCCAGTTCCTCCCCCAGGATGAGCGGGCGTGATAGATCTGTCTGGCACACTTGGGACACGGCGGCTGCTCTGAAACACACAGCATTTGCATTTGATTTTCAAATGAGTGGTGATATTTTTTCAAATATATTTTTCTTGTTCTACATATATATATGATGGTTTTTGTTGATATAAACATTACATAGCGAGGATATGTACTCCTAAGAAGTTGTGTATTTGTGTGAGTAATAATTTCAGGTCGAGGACTGTAAAGACGCTCAATATTTGATAGTGTCTTCTTAGTTTAGGTTGTGTGAGAGAGGTTCACTGCGCTGGTGATGACGACAGTATTAGTACGGCAACTTGGTCCTGTTTCACGCTCACACCGCCGAATACTCTGACAGTTAAAACACTAAATAACGGTGTTCTCAACTCTCTCCACACGCTGTTGAGACTGTGGAACAACGGTGTACTCAACTCACTTCACAGACTGTTGAAACATTGCAAGAATAGTGTGGGTAGTTTACTAAATTGACAGTTGAAGGCAAGAACGTTGTGGTCATCACTCCACTGAGGACTGTCGCTCACATGTTCACTCTTTCTTCTCTCTCTCTCTCTCTCTCTCTCTCTCTCTCTCTCTCTCTCTCTCTCTCTCTCTCTCTCTCTCTCTCTCTCTCCCTCTCTCTCTCTGAGAGAGAGAGAGAAAGAGAGACAATGGAGGTTCCCCCGCGTGAGTACCAAGACAGGACCATGTTCTACTTACTTTGAGGATGACCTTAGGTAGATGTCTGTCGTCCTCCTCGGTGATCTGGGTCTCATGGAGCGCCCTGGGGAAGACGGGGGCGTGGTCGTTCTGGTCGACCACACGCACTACCACCCGCGCCTGGCTCCTGGCCTCCCCAGCCCGCGCCTCCACCACAAGCTCGTGCTAGGACAGACAGAGGGAGAGGGAGATGATCTGCTTCAATTTGTGTTACAAAGAGTAGGCAGAGGAGTCACTCAGGGGAAGGCATACTAATTCTAGTTTGCTTGAAAGCAACATGGAAACTTGTATTGAAGAACAACAGCGTCTAACGAAGAGTGCTCGACCTTTATGTCTCATGGCGTCATAGTGAGACCGAAGTCAACCCGAGAACATGGGTCTTCTGCTATTGGCTACAATCTGAGTCGAATGTATCAACCCTCAAAAATGTAATACGTTGTTTTCTTGCACTTCTGTTTTTTTTATATGTTTAAATTAAATTTAAGGATAATGAGTTTTATAATATTTTTTCCACCTGTATGACAGCCAAATCAATCATGTTTCTTAAATGAATGATTTATTTGTTCACATATTATACACTGTTACTGTGTACCTTCTCACATGTTGCAGAATAACTGATGTTAAAATAATAACTCATTATAGGTCAAACCACCTTTCTCACTACCCACCAGACCATCTTTACTCACTATCACACCAGACCATCTTTACTCACCATCACACCAGACCATCTTTACTCACCATCACACTAGACCATCGTTACTCTCCATCACACCAGACCATCTTTACTCTCCATGACACCAGACCATCTTTACTCACCATGACACCAGACCATCTTTACTCTCCATCACACCAGACCATCTTTACTCACCATCACACCAGACCATCTTTACTCTCCATCACACCAGACCATCTTTACTCACCATCACACCAGACCATCTTTACTCACCATCACACCAGACCATCTTTACTCTTATTCACACCAGACCATCTTTACTCACCATCACACCGGACCATCTTTACTCACCATCACACCAGACCGTCTTTACTCACCATCACACCAGACCATCTTTATTCTCATTCACACCAGACCATCTTTACTCACCATCACACCAGACCGTCTTTACTCACCATCACACCGGACCATCTTTACTCACCATCACACCAGACCATCTTTACTCACCATCACACCAGACCATCTTTATTCTCATTCACACCAGACAATCTTTACTCACCATCACACCAGACCATCTTTACTCTCCATCACACCAGACCATCTTTACTCACCATCACACAAGGACACATTAAGATGACTTTATATTGATGGTTCTACAGCAATTTAGGCAACACAGGAGAGCACACTCTGACCTTAAGGGTGAGTTCTCTGATCTTAAGGGAGGGCATTGATCTTAAGGGAGGGCATTGACCTTAAGGGAGGAGATTGAATTTAACGGAAGAGACCTAAAAGATAAGTTAAGTAGACCTTTTGATCATATAAAGCAAAAAGTGAGCAGTACACTTTGTATGGTGTACACTTGTGAGATCTGACCAGACTTGCGTCACGGTCTCTTAGTTATAACTGGTTAATCAGGAATTCTTATATTTCCTGTGTTCAGGTTCACTCTTAGGTAAGGCGTATAGCTAAGCTAGTATGGCTATATAACACTCTGGAAAATTATGAGAACATTTCTTTATTTCTGAGGAACGAAATTTTTACAGGACCCGAGAAAGAAAACTAGATAATAACCGAGACACCGAGGGGAGATGAGGGACCAGGTCGCCCCTGACCACTGCATCATAACATTCTCAGACCATGTTGTCCTCAGCTTCCACTAATACTTTCACTAAGAAGACCTTGTATCTGAACTAATGAAGCTCGACAGGCATTAACCACCTTTCAGTTCACCATCCTCCTTATTGCCCCTACCAAATGTCAGTTAAACAGCAGCAACCCGTAGCGTCCTTCACACGTGCCTGCTAATTCTTGACTGGTGGCCGTGAGCCCCTGATACGTGTGCCTCTGTATCCCGTGATGCTCTCCTATTGGTTAAGCAGAGTAATTGCATGCGTTGATTGGCCAAACCATACAGAGCTCTCTCTGATCGGTCAGAAGTTTTTATTCGGAATTTACTCTCTTTAATTGTAAAATATGGCTTTTCGGGTTTCCCCTGCTCTAGTGCACCTAAATATCGCATTAATTCAATTCAACAATCTAAAGAATTGAAAAAAATATAATATCAATATATCAACCTATATGTGTAATATACATGCAAAACTGGCCAGATTGCATTACGTATTCAGCAAGGATGGGGTGAAATATCCAGGTTCCACTACACAACGCACTTAAAGAACTTTACTCAATACAAACTGACCATCATTACTCACTCTACACGAACATCAACATTCATTGCCCATGTGACCATCTTTGTTTACTACTGGTCTCACTAGCTTAGCTCACTGAACACATGCCAGCCTTTATTACTACACATATGACTATCTTGACTCTTTATTCACCTGACCAAGCTGTGGCTGCCTGGCTGAGGCTGCCTGGCTGAGGCTGCCTGGCTGAGGCTGCCTGGCTGTGACAGGCCGGCTGAGGCTGCCTGGCTGAGGCTGCCTGGCTGTGGCTGCCTGGCTGTGGCTGCCTGGCTGAGGCTGCCTGGCTGTGGCTGCCTGCCTGAGGCTGCCTGGCTGAGGCTGCCTGGCTGAGGCTGCCTGGCTGAGGCTGCCTGGCTGAGGCTGCCTGGCTGAGGCTGCCTGGCTGTGGCTGCCTGGCTGAGGCTGCCAGGCTGAATGACTTGGTCTCAAACTGCTCTTGGCCAGAATTAATGTAAGGATCGTCTGGTCTCAATGAGTATGTTCTAGTGGCAGTGTGGATGGTCTGGTGGCAGTGTGGATGGTCTGGTGGCAGTGTGGATGGTCTGGTGGCAGTGTGGATGGTGTGGTGGCAGTGTGGATGGTCTGGTGGCAGAGTGGATGGTCTGGTGGCAGAGTGGATGGTCTGGTGGCAGTGTGGATGGTCTGGTGGCAGTGTGGATGGTCTGGTGGCAGTGTGGATGGTCTGGTGGCAGTGTGGATGGTCTGGTGGCAGAGTGGATGGTCTGGTGGCAGTGTGGATGGTCTGGTGGCAGTGTGGATGGTCTGGTGGCAGAGTGGATGGTCTGGTGGCAGTGTGGATGGTCTGGTGGCAGTGTGGATGGTCTGGTGGCAGAGTGGATGGTCTGGTGGCAGTGTGGATGGTCTGGTGGCAGTGTGGATGGTCTGGTGGCAGAGTGGATGGTCTGGTGGCAGTGTGGATGGTCTGGTGGCAGTGTGGATGGTCTGGTGGCAGTGTGGATGGTCTGGTGGCAGTGTGGATGGTCTGGTGGCAGTGTGGATGGTCTGGTGGCAGAGTGGATGGTCTGGTGGCAGTGTGGATAGTCTGGTGGCAGTGTGGATGGTCTGGTGGCGGTAAGGATGGTCTGGTGGCAGTAAGGATGGTATGGTGGCAGTGTGGATGGTCTGGTGGCAGTAAGGATGGTCTGGTGGCAGAGTGGATGGTCTGGTGGCAGTGTGGATGGTCTGGTGGCAGTGTGGATGGTCTGGTGGCAGAGTGGATGGTCTGGTGGCAGTGTGGATGGTCTGGTGGCAGTGTGGATGGTCTGGTGGCAGTAAGGATGGTCTGGTGGCAGTAAGGATGGTCTGGTGGCGGTAAGGATGGTCTGGTGGCAGTAAGGATGGTATGGTGGCAGTGTGGATGGTCTGGTGGCAGTGTGGATGGTCTGGTGGCAGAGTGGATGGTCTGGTGGCAGAGTGGATGGTCTGGTGGCGGTATGAGTGCTCTAGTAGCAGTAAGGATGGTATGGTGGCAGAGTGGATGGTCTGGTGGCAGAGTGGATGGTCTGGTGGCGGTATGAGTGCTCTAGTAGCAGTAAGGATGGTCTGGTGGCAGAGTGGATGGTCTGGTGGCGGTATGAGTGGTCTAGTAGCAGTAAGGATGGTCTGGTGGCAGAGTGGATGGTCTGGTGGCGGTATGAGTGGTCTAGTAGCAGTAAGGATGGTCTGGTGGCAGAGTGGATGGTCTGGTGGCAGAGTGGATGGTCTGGTGGCGGTATGAGTGGTCTAGTAGCAGTAAGGATGGTCTGGTGGCAGAGTGGATGGTCTGGTGGCAGAGTGGATGGTCTGGTGGCGGTATGAGTGCTCTAGTAGCAGTAAGGATGGTCTGGTGGCAAAGTGGATGGTCTGGTGGCAGAGTGGACGGTCTGGTGGCGGTATGAGTGCTCTAGTAGCAGTAAGGATGGTCTGGTGGCAGTGTGGATAGTCTGGTGGCAGAGTGGATGGTCTGGTGGCGGTATGAGTGCTCTAGTAGCAGTAAGGATGGTCTGGTAGCAGCAAGGATGGTCTGGTGGCAGAGTGGATGGTCTGGTGGCGGTATGAGTGGTCTAGTAGCAGTAAGGATGGTCTGGTGGCAGAGTGGATGGTCTGGTGGCAGAGTGGATGGTCTGGTGGCAGAGTGGATGGTCTGGTGGCGGTATGAGTGCTCTAGTAGCAGTAAGGATGGTCTGGTGGCAAAGTGGATGGTCTGGTGGCAGAGTGGACGGTCTGGTGGCGGTATGAGTGCTCTAGTAGCAGTAAGGATGGTCTGGTGGCAGTGTGGATAGTCTGGTGGCAGAGTGGATGGTCTGGTGGCGGTATGAGTGCTCTAGTAGCAGTAAGGATGGTCTGGTGGCAGTGTGGATGGTCTGGTGGCAGAGTGGATGGTCTGGTGGCGGTATGAGTGCTCTAATAGCAGTGAGGATGGTCTGGTAGCAGTAAGGATGGTCTGGTGGCAGAGTGGATGGTCTGGTGGCGGTATGAGTGCTCTAGTAGCAGTGAGGATGGTCTGGTAGCAGTAAGGATGGTCTGGTGGCAGAGTGGATGGTCTGGTGGCGGTATGAGTGCTCTAGTAGCAGTGAGGATGGTCTGGTAGCAGTAAGGATGGTCTGGTAGCAGTAAGGATGGTCTGGTAGCAGTAAGGATGGTCTGGTGGCAGTAAGGATGGTCTGGTAGCAGTAAGGATGGTCTGGTAGCAGTAAGGATGGTCTGGTAGCAGTAAGGATGGTCTGGTGGCAGTATGGATGGTCTGGTAGCAGTAAGGATGGTCTGGTAGCAGTAAGGATGGTCTGGTGGCAGTAAGGATGGTCTGGTAG